AGTTTCAACATCTAGAAAATAGGGATTATCATATTTGAGTTGTTCTATGTAATAGAATATTTCATGAAAATTATACTATTGCACCTAGCATGCAAAAGCATTCAATAAATAGTATTATTTTATTAGTAATTAAGTTTTATTATTACATTTCCATTTAAAAAGAAAGTAGTATAATACTAATGTTCTTATTAATCTACTAAAGAACAACTGCAATTTCTTGAATTAGAGCCAAATTTGGAATATATAAGTAAGAAGCATGAAAAGAAACTGATTATAACAATAAAGCTATGTAGGAGGAACAATAAAATTTGAGGATGGAAGGAAAATTCAATTTTAAATATTACATGGCCATATTACGAAACATTTTTTTTTTGGTTAGCTGAGGGTATTTTTGTTCACAGATTCAATGAGATTAATCATGTATCACAGTGTACTTGCTATTATAATTATCATATCATGTATGTCTTGGCCCTCTTAGAGAGGCAAGGAGTTTCAGTCAACATATTAGAATGGACTAAAGATTCTACATGATGCAACAAGAAAAAATATTCTTACTTCTATGTCAGAAGATTTATGTTATATTTCTAGTCTTACTATTAACTAGAAGAGACTTTAGGGAAGTGATGTCTTCTCTATAGGTCTCAGTTTCCTCATCTGTCAAACTAAGACTTGGAACTACATATTCTTTAGGGCCTCTGGGCCTTGAGATCATAGGCTCTTACAAAAAGACATTTGATCTAGATGTTTGCAACCCCTATAGTAAACACAAAGGGGGAAAAATCTAGAAAAAGCAAAGAACTCCTACATGTGAAAAAAAAGATGACATCTCAATTTTAAAAACTGGACATGTGACTAGAACACACTCCATAATGAATATAATATCCACATCACTAATAAACTTGGAAATGTTCTCAAGCTCATTAGTCATAGACGAGATGGAAATTAAAACAATGAGAGAGTACACACTGCAGCAAAAATGGCTCAAGCACTGATAATGCTAATCACTTGCAACAATAACCTTAGATTTAATAAAATGATTATGGTTAAGTAAGTTTGTTAATGTAGTTTGAAAAATCACTTGATATTATAAATTAAAGGTAATTGGCTATTCAATGATCCAACAATTCTACTTTGGGTTTTATACAGCAAAAGTGAAGACACATGCAAACACTCTATACAATGTTCAGAGTAGCATTATTTTTAAGAGTTTGCAAATAGAATCAATCCAGATGTACATTCAGCTTAGATGAGGTAAGTAATTTTTTTATATTTATACTACAGCATATTATACTGCATAGAAAGTGGTTGAACCACACCTAAAAATAAGAAAATAGCTGGAGTTCACAGACATAATGTTGAGGGAAAAAAAGTCAAAAACACAGGAATAAATTACTCTATGGATTCAATTACATAATTTTAAGAAACTATCTATCTATGGTATGTTTGAAACTAATATTGTGCCTATCTATGGGAGTGAAGTGATGGAGGAGTAAGATTGGGGATTTCAGATGCTAGTAAAATTATTTTCTTGACTTTGGTATTTAATGAGGTGTTTTTGCTATTTGAAAATTCATTAATTTGTATGTATACTCAGTGATTTGTTCACATATATGCATTTGTTAGTGTGTTAAAGTTTAGAAACAGTTTTAAACACTAAAACAGAAATGTTTATTTTCATCTACCAAGGAAAGTAACTCTACTAATGAGTGTTGGGAGAAAATTTTCACTGCTTTTAGACTATGTGTAAACTACTTCAGAGAATCAGAGATTTGATGAGAATAAAGACACACATACACACACACACATACATTTACATATGTTGGAAGATGTGAGCAGCATGTAAAAAGAGGAAATGGGGAAGAAAGAGAGGTAGAGACATTCTAGACAATTTGTTCAAAATATGTATTGTTTGAAAGGGAAGAGGGGGAGTGGGAGAGACAGAGTGACTTTCTGGACAATCCAATTATTCAGAAAATGTACTGATTTTCTTTTTTTCCAAATTAAAATGTAAAACTTATGTCTTTTTAGTTTCTTAGGAGGAACTGTGAGTGAATCTAAAATCCAATTGAATTGGATGATGTTGAAGTTGTATGAAACCTTAATGTTTAACACAAATTCTTCATGTTACAGGTCTATTTAGCAACAGGCCTATTCTATAGATAATGTCATCCTTGTAGTCTTCCTGCATTATCTTTCAGGTTTGACTCTGTGGTTAATTTAAATTTAAACATTGCTGAAATATTTTCAGTTAACTTATAATTAAAGATAGGCACACAGAGAAAAAACAACATAAAAATTATCTAAGGAGAGCATAGGAAATAATTTCCAGGGATGACTGTACATAAACAACCAGTGACAGGTTTTGAAATTTTTCCTGAGAAAAAGACTGCATGGCCACACCCACTGTAGATTAAAAATGTTTAATTTCATTGTCTGCAACTGACTGTTGCAACAAACTAAACTCTTCCTTCTTGGTTTGATTCCAGTGAAGCTGAGCAGCAGCTGTTAGGCATGCTCTTCCGTATTTCAAGTGACCCTTTAAATATGTCACTTTACCCTTTACTTTGAATTACTGTTTTTCACTGAATTTGCTTTTTTCCTTTCAGGAATCATTTTAGTCTTTGAGGAACTTGCCAGTTTTTCCATATCACTCAAACTAGGAACCCTGGAAGCCTCTGGCTCATTCCTAAACCAGCTTTTCTGTCTGAATTCACAGCTGCTGCTGTTCTCTGGTAAGCTGTCACTGTAGATATTTTCCTTTTCTCATCCACGTAAAGCACATTCATCTCTAAATTCCTCAGGGACCATATCTTAGTCATCTTGCTCTAGCACAGAGCCTGGCAGTTAGAATTTATCAATAAATATTTGTTGGATGAATGGAAAGCAGCAGAAACAACCTGTCACTTCAGTTGGTGGGCTCTAATCCTGTTCTGGATGACCTAATGGAGAAATAAGCTCTGCCTCCTGCCATTGTGGCTACTAGAGCCCGCCTGTGAATGGCTCAGCAGCCAAAGGGAGAAGAACCTGCAATTCCTACTTACAAAATGAATGTTTTCATCACAGAAAGGCTTTTACTCAATCTCCTCCTTTTCACACTTGTCACTGAAAATAAATGAATCCCATAGCTCCCCATAAAACATATACAATATCAGGTTAGCCTCAGTGTCATTCTCCATAATCCAGTTTATTGTTGCTATACTGGATAATTCTACCTATAATGTTAAAAAAGAAACATGTGCTAGTAAAATTAGAATAATGATGTTCCCTATCATATTTTATTCTGAGAATCTTGTAATCAATGGTAACAATGCCATTACCAGAACAGAATGATCCTGATAAGTAAGATGAACATTGGGGAAAATAAACTTGTTTGTGTTTATAATTCTGTCTTTAGATTGCCAAGTAATGTCAATATTTCTTTTAGAAAGCTGATAAGCACCATTTACCTTCAAGTGTATATGGACAGTGATTAATTTCTGTATATTGCCCAAACTTCTGATTCAGTCATTCCCCATATCCTTTATAAATGTTTAAAAAGAAACCTCATTTATTCTTTTTAAATTTTTTTGTAGTTGTAGATAGACAGAATGCCTTTATTTGCTTATTTTTATGTGGTGCTGAGGATCGAACCCTGTGACTCGCACATGCTAGGCAAGTGCTCAACCACTGAGCTACAGCCCCAGCCCCTCATTTATTCTTTACACAGTATTTTTGTCTTGATGATCTTCTTAACCATTTGCTTATTCCTTACAGTATAGTTTGGGATATAACCACAAAGCTCCTCCCCCAAACAAAGCAGTTTTCTAGAGTCTGGTTATGCTAGATATATATTTTATATGTTTGTAATTTAAATTGAATTCAGTTTTCCCAAAGTAGAATATCTGTTTGATATTTAAAGTATCCCTGCTTTATTTAGAAATTATAGTTCATACTGCAATTAATTAGACTAAAGTTTAAAATATACAGAGTTGTAAAAAATGTTTTCTTTAAAATGATTACTTTGTAAAATTAACAAAGGTGACACTGGAACATTATAGCTAACTCTATTTTTTAAATTTAATTTAAAGACAGTGTAAACAAGTCCTGGAGACATAGTCTTATCTTTTATTAATATCTACACAGACTGGATTAAATTTATGAAAAGTTATATCTGTGGAGAAAATCTATAAATCTTTAGAGGTCAGATCATAAACCATGAAAACACTTAGATCCTTTAAAGTATCAAAAGGTATAACCTGTAACTAACAATACCAAGTAAATATTTTTAATTTGATCTTATAACATTTGAAATATTTATTTTCAATCTCTAAAATAATAATTTTCCTAAATTGTGAGCTTTTATTCATTTGAAATAATTTTATTTTTTTATTACTTTACCATAATATATAAAATATAGAGCTATCAATGTTACCCACTGAAAATATGCATAAAATCTTCATACTAAGATGAAGCATACTAGTATCCTGTATAAGTCAAACATTCTTGTAAGACATAGGATTTTAAAAAATACTTTCAGTTATTTAATAGCAACTTCAATATAAACTTTGAATCTAAGGGAATGTAGAGTCATATATGTCCTTTCTAAAACAGTTCACACTTGTTAAGTTCTTATTTTGTAAGCCAAAATTAATTTAAAATGAAAAATGGAAAAAAAATTGAAACCCAAGTATTTTTAAACTTCTAGGAGTTTTTGGTTTTAATTATTTTAATAAGTGAAACAAAGTAAAACTATTAAAACATAAAGTTATTCAGCTACTCTTTAAAATACTTAATTTTCAAAGAAATAGTGCTGCTTGTCATATTTTTTTCTGTCTTAAGGAGAAAGAGAACTAAAAAGAACATCTTGGAAGGACTGTGCCCTTTCATAATTCCCTGAGAAGCTTAGTGATTATAAAGAATGCCAATCAGAGTTCAATATTCTTACCCTTGGAATCAGGGGAAAAAGTCCTTTAAGAGATCAAAATCTTTGATAGCAATAACAAGAGCTAAATTTGCCAGAGTTAGAGCCCTCCCCTTATCAATTTCAGGCAAGAAACAATCCTTTTTTTCTGCATACCAAAAAAACAAGCCAACTCATGGAAAAATCTGTGTGACTTCAATTACATAAAATTGACTGGATGATTGAAAAGTAATATTTTGAACGATTTTTTTTAATTTTAAATAAGCGTACTTGTATGTTTGTTTTTATTACATTCTGAGACAGATCAAGAGGATGTGAAATTGTTTTCAAACACAAAGAAGCTACCTCCTAACAACTTTTTCTTGATTGCCTCTTCTGCCTTCTCCCAGTTTTATCCTCTTCCTCGGTGAGTCTCCCTCATCTCTCCATATTCCTAAGCCAATAGGAAGAATTTCCTTCAGACCCTTAAGCCTTGTATCTGTTACCATAGAGACAGGCATCACAAGATAGCTGTTCAGTAACATCCTCATGGAAACAAAATAAAAATCCTATGGGCTTTACAGGAATTTCCAGTGCTACCAGTGAACAGAAATGATATCTTTTCCTGGAAAATGCAGGGATTTTAATTCTGCATTAAAGAACTGTGGAGATTGCAATATGTGATGGTAAATCCAGAATCCCTTATTTTAAACTCAGAATCTGATTATAGTTTCTCCTTTGATTTGGAAAAAGTCTCTTATATCCCTATTTTCATGGGAATGTCTCATAAATATCTCATTGCTTAACATTTAATTCTAGCATGTCTTATCAATCATTTACTAATAGTGTCAACTGTTCTGTTCTAGTTCAGTACATTTATTTTTATCTTGCTATTCTTTGATCCCTTCTAGAACATATTTGATCAAGAACATCCTCATCTTTTCCTAAAGTTGAGCACCTCTCCAGAACTCTGCAATGTAAAATCTGCTTAGAGAGTCTATAGACCTATAAAAAGAGAAAAGGGTAGCTGCAAGAAATGAATTTCACTTACTTTACCTTGTTTTCCATTGACTTCTGTACTTTCTTAAGTCTACTGAAATCACACACTAGCTGAAGAGCAGCAATAAAAATAACTGAGTTTTAGCAAATAGATAAGTTCAGGAAGATCAGAAAAAGCAGATATTATATATGTCAGTGATTGCAGAGAGCTCAAATTTCCTTATAAAAATGTTAAATAAACAATCCTCTGCAAGTAAAACTTTTTAGCAAATTAGCAGACAAAATGAACCCATTTTTAACTCTTAAGCTTTATATTTGAACCTCTTTCCAAACTATCTAGTACTTAAATATTATGTATTATCTCAATTTCTGTTTGTGGAATATTTAATTGTTATTTTCATTTTCTAGAGTCAATGAGAAAAAATACAATTTTCTAATAGACTATATTGACTAGAGATTGGGTCAGCAAAGTTTTATTATCAAGGGCCAGGGAGTAAATTTTTCAGCTTTGTGGCCCATATAGTCTCTGTCACAATTGCTTAACTGTTGTTTTAACATGAAAGCAACTATAAATAGTAAGAAAACAAATGATTGTGGTTGTTTTAAAATAAAACTTTATAGACACATAAATTGGAATTTCATATTTGTGTGTGTGTTACAAAATATTTTTTTCTTTTAGAAACAACTAAGATATGAGAAAAACATTCTTAGCTGGCTGGTCAAACAGAAATGGTATGACACATGAACCATAGCTTACTGACCCCTGGCATGGATAGCTCAAGTGGAATAGTAGAGACATTCACAATCATATTTGAAAAAGGGAACCTTATTTTCATGAAATGATTAGACTCACAGATACTTCTCCGGTACCTCCTTCTTTTATTTCTCTTTCTTTATTCCAGGAATTCCATTCTTAGCACTGGACATGTTAAGAATAGGGAACATAATTTCACAAAATAGTCAAATCCATGTTTACACTATAATTCAAATATTTTCCTTTCTTTATTTCTTTACCCTCTTCTTTCAAGCATCCTTTAACTCTTCACTTTTCTAGATTCTTCAATGCCCCTCAAATATTATAGTCTCTAAGACATTTAACCATCCATGCATTTTTTACTTAATGTATTTGAAAAGTATTAAAAGTTCCTCTTAGACCACATTGTCCTCCTAATTTTTCAAAACAAATTGTCTTCATTTGTCCAACAATATTACTTTTTCCTTTTTTTTTTTTTTTGTTGATTCCCTGTGAGACTATGACTGAACCTGACAATTTGGCCATCACAAATAATCATTAAGTCTTATACAAAGAATTATTGTTAATCTTTATTGCATTTAGTATCTGTAAGATTCTTTTTTTAATTTAGCACAGGATGCTATAATTATTTCTATTGAAATTCATTATTTTAGCCTTACCACAGTGTTTAGGTAATCACAATTCCTTGGTACTCTTACAATTTAATATATTTGTTCTCCTTCCTAGCTAGACAGCTATTCATATCTTCCCTCAGGTTTTGCAAATTAATATTTCACAGGTCAAGCAGGGCCAAGGAAAGAATTACAAGGCACATTTTGAGAGATAGGGTTCAAGTCAGATGGAGCCAGTTTTATAGAACTGCACCACAGTCCCATGGGAAGCCTTCTCCCTGGTTTGCAATAATCCATTAATTGACACCAAAAGCAGGGCAATATAGAAAGCTAATTTATTTATCAGATTATTATATAAAAACATGCATTTTTCCATCTTGACCATATGTGCATCGTAAATATCTTCTAAATGTCCATAGCATAACCAAGGTAGCAGAATATTGGACAATCATGGCCTCTATTACCTTCTACTTCATTCCACTTTCCTCAGGAATCCACAGTTACTCCTAGTGAAGGAAAACTAGCATTTCTAGTCACAGGCAATTATTTACTCACCCCATTCTATTATGGACTTTTCCTCATCCTTTTCACCTTTTAAAAATTAATCTCAGGACAAATTAAAAATACTGTTGCGGTTCTCTTAAACAGTTTTGAAAACAGAGCAGGTGTGTGTGTGTGTGTGTGTGTGTGTGTGTTGCATGCACATGTACACACATAGGCATGCTTAAGTGGTCTGTTTTTATTTGACTTTTCATTATTAAAAGATAGATGACATGAGAATGGGAGAATAACAGGATGAAGCAAGCTTTTCAGAAGAAAATATTTCAAAGCCTGTTTCTTAACTGATAGTGTCTTCCTCTGCTCATGATTCTGGGTGAGGAGCAACACATCTGAAAGGAAGCCACTACATCACAACTGGGGAATTTAACTCTCAAGGGTTACCCAAAAGGGAAATAAGAGACATTTTAAAAATATAACTATGCCAAATAAAATTTTTACCTAAAAAGAAAGAATAGTTTTTATAGTATAAACATCTTAGAAAATAACAATATTGATTAGTAAAGAATTGGGAAAAACCCACTGAGATTTATAAAAGCCATCAATTCTAGGTTTTAACAATATATTTAAATGTTGATAGTCCATTTCCTTATGTCCCACCTCTTTTTCCTGCAGTCTATTTTTATGCATTTTTCTTCATCCTCCTTTTCTTCCTGAATCACTTTAGAAAAGACAGAATTAAGTAATTGGGAGTTAGAGACTTCACAAGATCTCATCATTGTGCATGATGATCATATTCCAGAGCTAGATATATCATCAGACATTTCCAACTCTTACAACGCATTTATCAGAAAGGGTACATCTGCTTTTCAGGTGTGTGGCTCAAAACCTTTAAAAATTTCATTAATAATCAACAGCTGGTGCCACCTAGTGTCTGTCCTCTCCATTCATCAGTGAAATGAAATACACAGCACTTCCTAGTCACAAACGAAGCAAGCCAAAACTACAAACTAACAAACAAAAAAACCACGGTTTGGGAAGTCCAGTGGCTGATTTAAATTACACTATCTTCATTGAAAGAAAAACCTCTTTTGCAAGTAACTATGGTAACAGGAGTGTGGGGCTAGCAGGAAGCTCACATTTTTCTCACAGGAGACAATTCACAAAAGAGTCCTACTAAAGAAGCAATGTAAAAGAGTCCCCCCCCCCAGACATGAATTGTCACTTAAAATGTTTATAAAAAGTTGAGAAATGAAACTGACAGAATAACATTCTTTTTTAAACAATAGTTTAGATACAGCTGATTTTTGTCAATCAACCAAAATTAACCCTGTAAGATTTGGATGCAAAATTCTTTCCGTTTGTGAGCTTCACAAAGATTAACCAAGTACTGCAACAGACTTTATAAAAGCATGTACAAATCTCAAAAGTATTAAAGGAAATAATCAGATTTCCTGAACCAATTATTAAAAGGGTTTGTGCTGCTAAAATTATACATCTAGAAAACTGTTTTCTTTCCTGCTGTACATATGAATTATGAATGAAACATTCAACCATAGTCATGTATGCTTCAAGGTTAAAAAGTACTCATCCAAATCCTTGACTATTTTGTAAAACATATGTTTGTAAGTAATTAGGATGAATATAAGCAGCAGAAATCATCCACCCATTTTTAACTGGTTCACTGATATTTAAATACATGTTTTAACTCACTCTTTCTAAGAGGAATACGTAATTGAAAAACATGGACTAACAGTCAGGAAAAAAAGTTACATAACAGCAGAAGTGTTCCTCAACCAGACTTACTGGGATATTACAAATGCTACAGAAAAGGCATAGCATATATGAGCATCACCGTGTATACAGAAAGGTCACATTAGATGTTCATATATAATAGTCTATTAACTTCTATAATTTAGGTACTGAGGCTACTGGGAAGAAGAGGCAGAGAGCTTAGAGATTCTGTATTATATAGTTAATAATTATGTTCCTCATACTTAGGAATATCTATTTCTATATTATTTGACATGTGTTTAAGCAATCACTTGTTAAAAACAGCTTTGAATATTTTATTTTCTTGTTACCCTAGTGGTGATAAAAATTATTTCAGTATGCTCGGTCCAATATATACTCACTGACAGATCCCCATGCCAGTGTATGAGATAGTATATAGAAACGATTCATAGTTTGTACAAATAGCTTAAATTGTTCTCCTTATCACCAAAACTTTATTTTTGGAGCCAAATTCAGTCCATGCACATGCCCCATTTGTTTTATAGTATTTATAAGTATAATCTACTGATTGAAAGAAATATTGCAATAGAGAAAAGGGGTTGTAAAAATTGTACGCAGGCAAGAAAGAATTAAAGCAAAACTCATTAAGGTTCCAAATAAATAAATAAATAAATAAATAAAGTGCTCCAATTTTAAATAATTTATCATTTTCCATTAACAGCTTTCAAAGCACTATTTGAAACTAGCTGATACAGAGAAATTAAGAGCAGTAATCAAGCGAGAAATGATAGACCAGCTGGGTCGACATCAACTTGGCAAAACGTGAATACAGTTCAATAGCTGAAACAGATGCTAGAGTTGTTGAAAAACCCTGCAGGAGATATTGATATATTTTCTTCATATAATGCAGAATGACTGAATAAATGTCAAAAGCTGGAACTTGATGAGGAGAAATGACTGACAGCCAAACTCCTTATAAAATAGAAACCAAGTGTAACAATTTTCAACCTATCCAAACATTGTATACATTCTCATTTCTCTCAGTGTCTCAATATGCCAATACATCAATCAGTTCTTACAAGTAAATTGCATATAACTGAGCTGGGGTAGATTTCCTCACAGATTCTACCCCCCCCACCCCCGTCATCATCTACCTGGAGAAACCTAGACTCTTGAGAAATACTTTATTTTAAAATCTCTAACACTGATTTCTATCCCAGAAGTGTTTCCCTGAGGTTGGAGGCAAGCACACCCCCCAAAAAATCTAACGCAGCACAAGGTAATTTTAAAATCCATTCTGTAAAAGCAACACTGTTTGCAGAGTTTGAAGAGCTCGGCAACAAACCCCAGCTACCAACAGCTGCTTGTTCAAACATATGCTTTGTCATGGTCAGCTTCTAATTGTATTCATAATGATGTAATAGCTTTAATAATCCTACCTTCCATGCCAGCTGTTTTTCCTGTCACTCCATCATGCCAATAAGTTGGCTGCTGTAACAAATCAAGATAGTGCAAAACAGCATCATTCTCCTGATTCTGTCATCTTCCTGAAAGCATTCTATTACTGCCGACTGCTGGGAACCAGAAAGTCTATTTGAATTCCAACAGCTCCCCTTTCGCATGATTCAAGTTAGGTTAGGTGGGCATGCCTAACATGATTCTCTCAGTCATTTATTATGCAGCTGCTACAACGTCGGTGTGGTAACCACTCTGACTATCTGATACGTCAGTTGAACAAAACCTACACCTCGGAGCAAACACATGAGCCAGAGCAGCGTTCTGCATTTAACGAGCATTCTTCCTGCCTAAAAACAGTGGATCTGCAAATCTCTTTCAGCATCTACTCGCTTCTCTGTACAGATGCAAAGCCTTTGGATTAGATTCTTTTCCTAACTATTCTAAGGGTAGAGTTCCTTGCCACGCATCCTATTATTCACAGTAAAATTGTGGCTGATTTTAACTTATTTTTCCAGTCCTTTAAGGGCAAAACTCTCTCTTCTGATTTTACTTTTGAAATCAGGACGCTGAGCGCTCAGCTCCACATCTCTGTTTTATTATAAAATATAGCATGCATTTCTCAAATGGAATTTGTCTCTTGTGATTCTATGGGAATTTTTCAAATTAAAGAAATTTTCAAGAACATATTATCTATTTTTTTCAATTGGAGACATTTAAATTCTGCCACTCCATGTGTTTTTCTCAAGGGTGGACTTTTTACTTGATGTTTTGACTTAAGAAGAGTGTTCTTTTCACAAAGTAAGAAAATGGATAAGCTCAATCTCTTACACAACTTGTCTACCAGATGAATAAATGTTGTTTCAGGAGAATGAATATTGTATTTACATAATACTATTAATGAATCAGTATTGTCAAAAAAGAAATTATAATCGCCATCACTATTAATTTTATCTAAAGCTTCTAAGCATGTCTCTCCTTTGTAGAACTAATATTTATGGTCAAAATTATATTACAGGAAAGTTTAAGTGTTTTATGGGAAAATACTTTGCAGGGAGAAGTGATCAAAATCTTAACGATCTATCAGATGTTCAATTTGGCAGGGGAGCTATCCTCCATCATCACAAAAAAAGCAAACAGCTTGTTAAGTAGCTACATTATGAAACTATAAAGAATATTTAATTTAGCATATGTGAGATATGCCAATGAGTATTCTGAAAGACTGTTTCTCTAAGGACTGTGTATTTCTGTGTGCACACATATATTTTAGTTATTCTAATGTCGTTTAACTTTTTTTGTTTTTGTTTTTTGTAGATGGACAGCATGCCTTTATTTTATTTGCTTATTTTTATGTGGTACTAGGGATCAAACCCAGTGCCTCATATTTGCTACCATGGAGCTACAGCCCCAGCCAGCCCCCATTTAACTTTTAAGTAATACACAAATATTTCCTATGTATAATAACATAAACAATAATTAGTAACAGATTATTATGTTTTATTTAAAAATGATTTGAGTAAACCAGAAATACAATTGGAGTCCATTTGAATCCACCAAATTTACTTTAAAATATTATACATGTCATTTCACAAACAATTCTGAAAACACTGGTTTGTCAATTACTATTATTTCTCTAATAAAAAGTCACTTTTGTGGTTAGCATATCTTTCCTAGAGATTGAAAATGGCATGAACAAATACTACATGGAATTTTCTACTCTTGGTCTCTGCTTACCGCTCCAACTTTAACTTTTGCCTCTCTTTCCCTTCACACTTTGCTCCAGCCCCCCAAAATGTTTTGTTATTCAAAAATAATGTGGGGCTGAGGAAGTGGCTCAAGCGGTAATGTGCTTGCCTGGCATGCACGGGGCGCTGGGTTCAATCCTCAGCACCACATAAAATAAAATAAAAAATAAAGATGTTGTGTCCACCAAAAACTGGAAAATAAATATTAAAAAATTCTCTCTCTCTTTTTTCTTTCTCTCTTAAAAAAATAATGTGTACCTTCCTCTCTCAGAGATATTAAATACTGTTTCACCTATCCCTAGCATGCCACCACCTTTAAACTTTAATTTTAATAAATTGTATGTATTTAAGATGTACAGCATGACAACTTTAATACACACATAGTTCAACGATTCCAATAATATGGCTAATTAATATACTTAACTCCTCATTTGGTTACCTTATATTTGTGTTTGCTTATAATGATTAATATCTATTTTATCTGCAAATTTCAAACACAGTTTTAACTTTAGTTCTTATCCTGCACATTAGATATTGAGAATTTATCTGCCCACAAGACTACAATTGTGTTCCCTTTATTCCTATTCTACCCCTGCACAAGTTAGCATCATTCTACTCCCTGTTTCTGTGAATGTGACTATAAGTGAGACATCAAGTAGTATTTTTCTGTGTCTGGATTACTTCATTATACACACACACACACACAGACACACACACGAAGAAATTGTGATTTTTATTGATTCATCCATCAATATACACTTAGATTTTTCTTTATCTTGGCTATTGTAAATAATGCTACAAGAATATGAGAAAATCAATACCTCATTGAGAACTGATTTCACTTCCTTTGGATATATACCTAGAAGAGGGCTTGCTGGATCCTATAATTGTCGTATTTAGAATTATTTAAGAGCCTTCATACTATTTTCTGTAATAGCTGTAGTGCCTGTTTATATCCATACCAATGGTGAACAAGGTTTCTGTTTTCTCCTCATACTTACCAATACTTATCTTTTGTATTTTGATTTCTTTGTTCAGTGCTGAAGATTGAATTCAAGGCCTCACCCATGCTCTACCACTGACCTACATCCCCAGTCTTTGTCTTTTGATATCAGCTACGCTAATAGGTATGAGGTGATATCTCACTGTGGTTTTTGTCTTATATGAGGTTGTTAGCCATTTGTATATCTTCTTTGGAAAAATGTCTACTCAAGAGCTTTGCCCATTTTTTAGTCTGATTATTTATCTTTATATCATTATAATTATACATAGCATTTGGGTTCACTTTGACAAAATCACACATGCAAGGAATTTTATTTCAATGCCCATTCCTTGTCTCTTTTTGATTATTTGATTTTGCTTTGAGTAGTTTTTGTTTGTTCTTGAGTTCTTTCAGGTCCTTATATATTTTGGATGTTAATATTATGTCAGACATGGTTTTCAAATATTTTCATCCAGTTGTAGTTGCCTTTTAATTTGTTTCATTTGCTATGCAGAAATATTTTATATTGATGTAGTCCCACTTGTTTATTTTTGGTTTTGTTGCCTGTCCTTTTGGTGTCATGTCCAAAAAACAAATCATTTCCAAGATCAAAGTCAAGAAGCTTTCCTCTATGTTTTCTTATAGAGTTTTATAGTTTCAGGTATTACATTCAAGCCTTTAATCTATTGTAGTTAATTTTTGTGTATAAATTTCATTTTTTTTTTGTGGTGTTGTCCATTGAACCCAGGGCCTTGTGTATATGAGGCAAGCACTCAACTAACTGAGCTATATCCCCAGCCCAAGTTCACTCTATTTTAATGTGGCTATGCCTATTTCCAAACACCACTTATTGAAAATAAAGACAAGGAAAGTTTCTTCATTGTGTACTGTTGGGGCTCTTATTGAAAATAATTTGACCATATAAGTATGGATTTATTTATGAGATCTTAGTTCTATTGTACTGGCCTATATGTCTGTTTTCATTCTAGTAACATACTGTTTGGATTACTAAAACCTTGCCATATGATTTGAAATCAGGACGTGTGGTATCTGAACTTATTCAAGATTGTTTACTTGATTTGGGTCTTTTGAGGTTCCATGTGCATTTTAAAAATGCTTTTGCTTTTCAGTGAAAAAATTTGTCATTGATATGTTGATAGGGATTGTGTTAAATATGTAGAGTTGTTAAAATATTATGAATATTGAATCAATCCATGAACATGGAATATCTTTCAATTTGAAACTTTTTCAATTTCTTTCACTATTGTTCTGTAGTTTTCACTGTGTAGATATTTGACCTTTTTGATTAAATATATTTCTAAGTATTTTATTCCTTTTGATGCTATTTTAAACAGGATTTTTAAAATGTTCTTTTCTGATAAGTCATTTTGGGTGTAAAGAAAAACTACTTGTTTTGAGTGTTGATTTTATTTCTTGCAACTTTACTTAATTTATGTTTTCACAATTATTTTATGTAATTTTTTATGGACTTTTACACATAGGGTCATGTCATCTACAATTGGAGGTAATTCCATTTATTCTTTTTAAGTTTGGATACATTTTATTTCATTCTTTCACCTAATTTCTCTGACTAGGACACGAACTTGAATAGAAAAGTGTGAAGATTGAGAATCTTTATCTTGGACCAGACCTTACAAGAAAAGGTTTCAGTTATTCACCAGTGATTATGATCTTAGCTGTGGGCTTTCCATAAACAGTCTGTAAAGGTAAACTTCTACTTTTTTTAAAATCATGAATGGATATTGAAGTTTGTCAAATGCTATTTTTGTATTTTTATGGTTTATCATAAGTTTATCTTTCATTCTGCTAATGTTCCATATCCCGTTATTGATTTGTATATGCTGGACCAATCTTGGCTCTCAGGGATAAATCCTACTTGGTTAGAATGTATAATCTTTTTGATGAGCTACTGGATTTAGTATTTTGTTGAACTAGTATTTTATTTAGGACTTTTGCATCTATGCTTATAAGAGATATTCACTTGTAGCTTCCTTTCCTTGTGGTGTCTTTGGAAAAAAATGAGTTTGGAAGTGTTCCCTTGTCTATTTTCTGGAAGAATTTAGAAAAGATTGGTATTAATTCTTTGAATGTTTGGTAAAATTTACCTGTGAAGTGATTTGCTCCTGAGTTTTTCTTTGTCTAGAGGTTTTTGATTACTGCCTCAATCTCTTTGTCATAGGTCTGTTCAGGTTTTCTATTTCTTCTTGATTCTGTCTTGGCAAGTTGTATATCTACAGTACTTTATTAATTTCTAGGTTATCCAATTTTTTGGCATATTATATAGTTGTCCATAATAGTCCTTTATGATCCTTTTTTTATTTCTGTAACATTTTTTTTATTTTGTAACATTTCCTCTTTCATTTCTTGTTCTATTTATTTCAGTCTTCTTTTTCTCCCCTCTAGTATAGCTAAGGGTTTGTTGATATTTAACTTTTCAAAAAAACACATCTTAGTTTTATTGATTCTTTTTACTATTTTCTATTCTGTTTATTTCTGCTCTAATCCTTATTTTTTCCATACTTCTAGTGTTAAAATTATTTTTTCTTCTTCCAGAATTTTGAGGTATAAATTTAAGTTGTTTGAGATGCTTCTTCTTTTTATTATAAGTGTTTATGACTATATCAATACTGCTTTTTTGAACTTCATAAATTTGGTATATTTTTATTTCTGTTAGTCCCAAATATTTTAAATTCCTCTTTGATTCAATGTTTGTTCAAGAGTTTGTTGCTAATTTCCATGTGCTATTCAATTTTTATTCTCTTTTTGTTAATTGCTAGTTTCATTACATTGTGGTCAGAAAAGACACTTGGTATGATTTTTACGTTCTTAAATGTATTAATATTTGATTTGTTGCATCTTTTGTGATCTACTGCAGAATGTTCTATATGTGGTTTAAAAGAATTTGTAGTCTCCTACTGTTGATTGAAGGTTCTGTATGTTGGTTTCATTTGCTCTGCAGTGTTGTTCAAATGTACTGTTTCTTTATTAGTTTTAAAGTCATTTTAGCCACTACATATTATTGGATTGGAAGCTTAATACTTTTAAAATATTTGATTAGGAAAGCTTTATTATTTTCAATTTAACTTTTTTATTTGTCTTGTGTTTCTTTTGTCCCTCACTTTAGATATTGCTCTCAGTCCATATTATGTTGTCCTTGTTATTGTTGTGTATTGACAGGCTTAGATTCTTTTTTTTTTCTTTTGGATAACTTACATAAATATTTTCTTTGTGGTTACTATAGAGTTTACTTATCACATAGTTACAATCACTTTTTAAAGTTGATAACTTTATTACCATATATGAATTCTGAACTTTTACCTTTTTTGCACCCCGCAAAAGACCACTAATACTATATATTATTCACATCGGAGTTTAAGTCTGTTTGTTTATCTGTTAATGTAACATAGCAATTTAAATATTTTGTCTTTTATACTACAATTTGCAATAATATTGTATTTGTGATTTATGTTTACTTTTACCAATAACTTTCACACTTTCTAATATCCTAGTGCTACTATTTTGTTCTTTCATTTTAAAATTAATAACTCCTTTTAATATTTCTTGTAAAACAGGTATAGTGATGAGAAATTCCCTTAAATTTTCTCTAAGAAATTTTTTATCTTCCTTCATTTTTAATGAACATGATTGTTGGACACAGCATTCTTAGTTGGCAGGTTCTTTATTTTTCTTTCAGCACTTTGAGCATATCATTCCACTATCTTCTGCCCTGAAGTTCCCCCTCACTTTGATTTCCAACATTCCATCAAATCTTGAAGAACACGATTTGCAGGGTGATTCATTTTTTCCCCCGGATGAAATAATATTCTCCTGCTATGCAATTTCATAGCACATTGTATTTCTCTTATCTTTGTAAAAATGACAACTACTTATACATCACAGGCTGAAAGATCCTGTTGTAAAGTTGTACACACATACACAACACACAGAAATGTACATGCATACATATATGTGTTTATGTGTGTTTGTGTCTATTCTAACTACCCACTGATAAATAGTATGTAGATTTCATTCAAAGCTCAGAATAAATCTATAAGGAGCATTTGTTATTACATTTCTTTTGCAAATGTGAAAACGGGCAAGAGTTACATAACTGCATGATTTTAACTGTATTTCTGTATATTTTTAGTTCTTGAGATCTTTGTCTTGTCTTAAAATATACTAATGCCCTGTATAGTACTTGAAAAACTGTATCCTATTAATTTACTCATCCTGTAGGACTTGCTTTATGCTATGTACTGTACTAAGCACTTGTGATTAAAACAGACAAATCCTATTTTCATGGAGCTTATGGGCTAGAGCAAGAGTTCTAAACTCAGGTCCAATAGCCGTGGATAGAATTCAAATGTCTGTTAACTGGGACAAGAAAAATTATATTTTAATTGAAATAATTAAATAGTCTTAACCAAGATGTAGTGTTATTTTCACTTATATTTGTGGCTATAAATTATAGTACTGTTAGAAGTACATGTGACCTTATTGATAACAAAATAATAAACATTTAATATCATTTTATAGATCTTTTTTATCTAAAATATCTCTACCTTTATTTCTACTTTGACATTATGGTCTGACTAAGCCCACAACTTTATCTTGCTATTTAATGTGTTGATGATGAATATATTATTATACCATAACTTTTAAATAGTCAGAAAACTACTTTTCAATATGATGGGTTTCTGCTGTAATCCTAAATCCTTTTTTTTTCTTTGCATACTTCAGTATATTCAGATAAGCTTCACCAAATGTCAAAGTCTCTATGGTGTTAGGACCTTAAGTTTTACCAGGTATCAAAGAGGTCCATGTTTAGAATCCATGTCTTAGAGAATGGGAGAAAATAGTACATTTCTTAATAGCACTATTTTTATAGTTACACAATCTGGGTTCAAATTTCAAATACATAGTTTATAATTGATGTGCTCTGTGACAAGTTACTTAACTTTGGTTTATTATTCGATAAAACATGAATAATGATTGCTCTTTTGCATTCTTGCTATTAGAATACAATAAGAGAATGATTATGAAATATTTATTCCAAAAACTCACATCTATTAAACTTTTACTATTATCTTTGTGACAGATCTAATTACTAAATTATTATGGCAAATAAAATTGTAAAAAAAATTAACAAAGAGTTTTAGAACTGAAACACTCATACAGTATTGATGAAAAAATACAATGGTAAAACTACTCTGACAAACATTTTGTCAGTGTCTTAAAAAGTTATGTATGTATGTATGTAAATATTCATAGCACCTGTATTTGCAGTAGTTCCGAACTATAAACAATTAATATTTATCATTATCTGAATGAATAATCATGACATATTTACATAATAAAATAATACTTTGTCATGAAAAGGACTGAATTAATGATATGTGAGTGTGTGTATCCATCCACATGAAGAAACCACAAAGGAAGTATGCTAATTGTAAGAAGCCCAGCAAGAAGAGTACATAATGTATGATTTTACTGAAACAAAACTCTAGAAGAAGCAAATTAATCTGTAGTGGAGATAAGCAGATTAATGATTGGTTAGGAAAAGTGGGATGAGGTTCAGGGAGGAGTGGTTACAAATAGGATTAAGAAACTTCCTGGATGATGAATATATTCACTACCTTCATTTTGATGGTTTCATAGAAACACACAAACATATCGAGATGAATCAAGTTGTATATTTTTAATGGGTACAGTTTACTGTATGGTATTTATGCCTCAATAACACTGTTTGAAACTTTTTTTTACTGTATTTTAGGACATTCATATTAAGAATTAATATATGACATTCTATCACTTCCGTAAAAGTTAGTCTACTAAACTTCCTATATAAAGAATATACACTCCAAGTAATTATCTTTTTTGCATATAATAATCCTAAACATAGCAAGAAAATAATTTCCTCATCATCTCCTATTTATAGCTCTTCATTGCATCATTGAACAATGTGGCAACTAATCATTGTCCAAACATAGTAAAAATTTACCCTATTTAACATACATAATTTTCTTTATTGTGAGCATATAAACTAGTAAAATTAACAAACTATTAGGCTGGTTACAGAATGAGTACTTGAATAAAATCTAAGGCACTGATCAATACTAGCTTATTGATATATAATTCTATGCTACAGAAAACCTTGGAATAAGCTTCCTGATTAAATATTCAAGGAATTGATTTTATAAATTATTTTCATTTCACAGAAAAAAATGCAATAGCAAACTCAATGAGTATTTGGAGAGGAAGAAGATGACTGAGGAAAATCCAATTGAGTCTATGTGACAGTTGAGACTGAAAACAGTAAAATGCATTTCCAAGAAAAATATTTTTCATATACCATGTTAATGTGTCAACAAGATGAAAAAGCCAAATTGCTAAATTTAAAAATTAGTACCAATATAAAATTGCAGTTGAATCAAAGAAAATAGAAAAACCTTTGTTTTGTCATATGATTCTAATACTGTACCCCATTCTCCAGTCTAAATCAGCCAAAGGATATTTATAACACACACACACACACACACACACAAATCAGATCATGCTACTGTCTCAAATCTTTTCAGAGATCTCTCATCACCCTTAAAGTCCTTACTATACTCTGTAAGACCCTATGTTTTATGTCCCTCATAATTCCTTTTCCCGTATTCCCCCATGCTGCAGGTCCTATATGCCTTTCCTTACTT